ATATAAAACCTGGCAGCAGGTGGGCTTCATCACTGAACCTGCTCCAGTAGCAAAATAACAAACACCGTAAAGAGATGTGTTGAACATCTTCCGGGTGGGGGCGGGGCTGGAGAGATGGCTCAGAGGTTAAGAGCACAGGCTGCTCTTCCAGAGGTCCTGAGTTCAATATGTTTTATTTTCACGTGGTGGCTCACAACCATCTCTAATGAGATCTGGTGCCCTCTTCTGGCCTGCAGGCAGTACACTGTGTACATAATAACTAAATAGCAAAGGAGGAAGTCTTCCGGCCAAGTCCCTTCTGGGAATGGCAACTTCTCAGACTCTGTGGAAGTGACACTCACTTACAGCAGTGTGGAGTCTTATCTGCTGATCCTGACAGATACCAAACTTGCCATGGTGGCACTGGTGTCCTTCCAAGCTACTGGACCACTTCCAGTGACTAAACCACATAGCCCTGGCAGATAAGGCACTAGAACAGATCCCAGGCATCTTTTAAGATGTTTGGCACATCAGTGGCACTGGTGAGCTGGGGTACAAAAGAGGAACAGGCAATGGTAGCGATACAAATTCATATAGACTGTCTGGGTAAAGAAAGGAAAGGACCAGTCAATGGGATCACGGTGCGAGCCTTGAGGGTGGGGCTGGAGAGAGAGAGTTCTGAGGTTAAGAGCACTGGCTGTTCTTCCCAAGGACTTGAGTTAAATTCCCAGAATGCACGTGATGGCTCACAACCATATGTAACTCCACTTCCAGTGGATCGATCCAACAACGTTTTCTGGCCTTTGCAGGCAACAGATGTACATACACATGGTACACAGACATACGTGAAGGCAAAACACCCATACACACAGCAAAAAAATACTGTCTTCCAGGACAAGCTCCAAAGCTACAGAGAAACCCTGTCTCAAAAAAAAAAAAAAAATACTGTGGCGGAATTGAAACCTGGGTAGGGGGGGATGGTGTGATTGGTAAAAACAGTGCCAACTCACAAGGAATGGCCACGAGCTTTTCCACAGACAGTTGCTCTGGCTTTGGGAGTGTGACTTTGTGGCTGGCACAGGAGCAGAGGGCACTTGCAACTGCTTGCCGGGCCAACAGATACAAAAGCATGGGAAGTACAGAATAAACCAGACCCTAACAATCTTCCTACGGCTTTCATGAGACACAAAGTCAGGCCCTCCTGCTGCCAGCAAAAGCTGATGCCTTCACAAACGTGGGAGCCGTTTGCTCATTGAACTATGAAGAAGAAGAAGTTATCCACTGAGTTCCTGGGAAATCAGGGTACAAATGGAGCGGGGCACAGACAACACAGATTGGAAAACAGCAACATTTATAAGCATGGCCCTGAAGTGCGCCGATATGGTCCGTGTAGTGCGTCACGCCTGGATCGTTACATTAGCCTAACAGTATACATAGAAGTCAATGTGCCTCGTTAAGTGATTGGTGGGTGAATCGCACAGGGCTCAGGCATATGGAAAAGGAAAACAGACGCGCCTTTATGTGTGTGTATTGTCACAGGATTTCTGTAATAGTTCTTGTATAAACAGGCCTCACCCAGCTCAGTGTTATAAGTAGGTGTCTATAGGAGATTAACTATAATAAGGACAGACCCATCTCATAAACACTGCTGTACAAACCTGGAAAATCAATGAAAATATTATATATAATATATTTATATATATCAATTTTGGATACCCAAATATAGTGATATTTTTTGACAGGGACAGACAGGGGCTCTTTACTATTCTATATTAGATGATATATTTGAACTCCATATTATAGAAAGAAATCTGAACAGCCATTTGATTAACAGTTTGGTATGCCCTAACTGCTTATTTGTGCTGACCTAACCCCACCCCCAGTTCAGCTGCCCTGGAGGAGAGAGGACAAAGCCAGTACCAGCAGATACTAACTAGATTCACTGTTCCGATAAGCACCTGAGCCAGGCACCCAGAGTTAGAGGGGAGAGCGCAGGGGCTGATAAGGAGACAGGCCAGGCGCTGCGCAGATGCCGCACGTCTCCAAGATGGGGCTGATTAGCTGACCAGAGGCAAAAATCTGGACTCTGGAGCAATTGTTTTTCCATCCTTTCTTCCTCTAAAGTCTACGGACTGGAGATGAGAATCTTTAAAAGATAGTCATTCCCAGGCCAGCAAGATGGCTCAAAATGAGTAATGGCTCTGGCAGCTGAGTCTGGTGACTTGATTTCCGGCTCCAGAACCCACGTGGTAGAAGCAGAGCCATGGTTCAGGCGCGCCATTTTCTGATACCCGTTTGCTCACCACGGCGAACAAATTCTCCCACATATCATACACGGCACACTCCTCCCCACACACACACACACACACACACACACACACACACACACACACACAATGCAAAAATAAAATAAAACCTGTCTTCCTAGCTGTCCAGCTCTCAGAATAAAATGCAACTTAGAGGTTAAATTTCTGCTTGTTTGTTAGCATTTGCAGTAAGAGCCTCCCCCAAATTCTGGTGCTCCAATGATATCTTCGCTTGCCTTATAATTCCACAGAGGTTATTTTGATGATTTTATAAAAGGATTGTTAAAATAATAGCAAAAGAATTTAAATAAAAGGCCCCCTATGCAGGTAAAAAAGATGCTTTCCAAACCAAACTCATAAGGTTATTGAAGAAAACGCCAGTTCATTGGCCAGGGAAGCAGTCAAGATACCTCCCACACTATGAAGACAACTGTTTCTTCAGCCAGCTGCGGTGACCAGACTTGGCAGGAAGTTGCTAGTGTCAAAGACAGAACATGCTCTGGATATGGGCCATGTGGGGAAAAAGCTTGGGGCCTGGGTTCAATCCCCAGTACAGATACAAAGCAAAACCCAGCAAAAGCATGCATACCAAAGTATGGGGCAAAGTTACCTCTAAGAGGGCTCAGTATGGATAGCTATATACATACAGTTCTTTTTGTCTTGAAAAACCTTAAATGGCTGAAGGACTTAATAATAGCATAGACATTTAGAAGTCTATGATGCTTCTGCATGTTGACTGGGCTTTCTGTTCGGCAACCTAGGCCATGACTCTTGATTGGTATTTGTGATGCCCTGGGAGTAAGCGTTCATTGTTGCAGTTTGTGCTGTTGCTGGGTTCCAGTGTCCCAGGGTTTAGCTTTAACACATAGAACAAAAGGAATCGATCACAAATCCCTCTCCAATGATCAAAAGAAAAGTGGGCTAAACAAAAGTAAGAGCCCAAAACTCCACAAAACTGGGGTGGGGAGGAGTGAAGTGCAGGGAGCCTAGTTCTCCAAATTCTAGCCAAAGGAACAGCATTCTGCAGAGGTTACCATGTAGTTGTTTTATGCACCAAGGCTACGGCCCACATTGCAACAAAACAAAGTCTTCCCACGGGCTGACAGGGTTCGCAGTGACCCTCAACATTTCTGATAAGGACAAGGATGGAGTTCATTCTTATCAAGGTCCAGCTTACACTTGTCCTGTTCCGGACACCACGCAAACTCCTTAAAACAGGAGTGACAGGGAAGTGGGTAGAGACAGTGAGTAAATCGCAACATTGTAAATAATCTCTAACGAACTCGTGGATCTTTCAGACTGGACTTCTAAGGTCGGGGGCGGGCGGGGGGGGGCATTCCAGTTCAGAATCCGACAATTCTTCTCTATCTCCCTGGGAAAATCACAAACGTGTGGTAAAATTCTCAGGCTGAGCAGAGACCCTCCTTTGACAAGAATGTAAATGCCCTCCTGAAGTAGTTTGATATTTTCCTATACTGAGTGCAAACCCCAGGTTGGTTGCTCTAAGATGGCCTCTTGAACATCTGAAAGAGCAGCTTTCTTTGCCTCCAGAGACTTCATCTACAAAGGCCCTTTGTTCTCCAGGTCTATAGGGCCACCTCTGGGGTCACTGCACCCAAACTGGAAAGTTACTTTTGCCTTCTGTCCCTCGTTGTCTTTCCCCTAATCTTTCAATGGCCTATCCTTTTGACCTAGAATTCTAAACTCTGAAGTGTCTTTAACACCCCCCCTCCTCTCCTAGGCTCATAGGATTAAACTTGTAGAAAAGTAATGGGCTTGTATGTAAAGAAAATGCAGGTGCTGGCCCCGGGAGGTCAGCAGTTCTCAATGGACTTTTGAAAATGACTAGAAAGAAACTGTGCCGTGGAGACAAAGACCCCTCCAAGCAAGCTCGTGGGTTTCATGCCAATTGGCTCCTTTTAACCTACTGCATTTCATGGAAGTCCTTTGCATCCTTCAATCCCCTTGTTGCAAGGTGGTAATTTGAGAAGGAAACTTCCCTCAGGGCTGGCCTGGAACGGATGGCTTTCACAGCACTCCTTTCTGTCTCCAGGCTTGAGCAGGGACCAGCAGGAGCTTTTAGAGTCCA